CCACTCACCTCAGCCTCCCAAAGGCGTGGGATTACAGGCTGAGCCACTGAGCCCGGCTCATCCTTTCTTAAACTATCCAAATTACAACGTTTTGAGCATTAAAAAAAAAAGAAAAATAAGAGTTTATCTAAGGCTTTTAACCTTTTTTTATTTACTGATTTTTAAAAGATTAACTCTTTGGGTCTTAAATTAGAGAAAAATTCTAATTTTTAGTATATCTATATGTATATGCATATCTTTGTAATAATTTTTATTTGTTGATGTATGAATTACTGTTACATATTTCTTAATATATTTATAAATAACACTCTCATGAAGGTGTGTCGTTTTACTTCTATTTATGTCTTTTGCTGGTGTCTGTATGTATGAGACACTCCACAGTGACAGACAATGGTACACTGTTTCTTGCAAGTGGGGATCCTAAAAGTGTGAGACCCTGTGGAGAATTCTATCCTTCTGGTCTTGTATGTGGACTAAGAAGTTCATTGAACTCCCGTTGTCCAGTTATCTTCGTGCTATTTGAGTAAGACCCAACTCCAGCTCTAGGAAAAGCATAGAGAAGTCACTAGGTGTGTCAGGTTAAACAAGGTGGCCAGAAGCCTAGTGAAACCAGTAACATCCCATGGCTTTCCATTCAAATCCTATCTGATTGGAACCTCTCTGAGCTTCTTAGCTGAGGTGAAAAGGGACCATTTTTGCTGGCACTGCCATTTACTTTTTCATTCGTGCAACAGGCCTAATGATCAGGTAAAGATCACATCACCTCTGGGCCATAGTACACGCCTGGTCTGGGACCTCAGAGCTCTTTGGAGAATGCCCATGTGCACATACACAGTTTACTTCAACCAAGAGCAAAGATCCTTCCCCAAATTCTTGGCCCTTGTTGTTGAACAAGTGTCATCCGGGAGACCGGGTCAATGCTTTGTGTTGGGAATGGTTTGTCAAAACAAGCCTCTAGGCCAGGTGCAGTGGCTCAACCCTGTAATCCCAGCATGTTGGGAGGTCAAGATGGGAGAAATTCTTGAGCCTTAGGGGTTCAAGACCAGCCTGAGTCACATAGTGGGACCTTATCTAAATTTTTAAAAAGAGTAACTGGGCATGGTTGTACACACCTGTAGTCCCAGCTACTCGGTAGGCTGAGGTGGAAGGATTGCATGAGTCCAGGAAGTCACAGCTACAGTGAGCTGTGATAGTGCCACTGTACTCCAACCTGGGTGGCAGGTAAGACCCTGACTCAAAAAAAAAAAAAAAACCTCTACTGTCCATGCTGCTCAGACTCATGGAAGAGGCCCCAGGAAAGCTAACTCTCCAGATCTTTCTTATCCAGATGTTCAACAACTCTGTCTATAGGCTTCTCTAGATCTTACCTGAGCTGGCTGTAAGAGAGCTACCTCCAGACCATTGAGTCTTCAGAGTTTAGGGACATTTTTCTGGCCCACAAAAGCCCACAATGGTAGTCAGTGCACTTGAGTCCTGGCCTGGCTGTTCCTTTACCCCATGTCATCTGATGCCACTTAAGCTCACACTGCTACCAGCACATCCTGAGAGCTAACATCTGGCCATTCTCCACAGAAAGCTTCTTCAATATCCACCCAAATTGAGGCACTGCTGTATGTTCCCACCTTTGGTGCATAAACCATGAGCATCTGTACACACTGATAGAAGAAGTGGACAGTTTTCCCAGAGGATGATAGCAAGTGGGCTAGCTCTGGTTAATGGTCATTTTCCAGGTGTTTGTGTCATCAGGATAGTCTTGATGGAATAGTATTAATACGTAAGCTTTAACATTTTTTCTTTCTTTTTTTCTAGTCTCTTAAGAAAATCTAAAGATCATCCTTGGTTTTCTTCTCACTAGTTACAGCTCCTTGAAAGGTTTAGGCCCCTGTCAGACGCCAGAGGAGATCCAGACCCTCTGCAAGACCCGGTTAGATGGAAACTGGCAGGCCAGCATGGACTGGTACCCGCGACCCCTAGCTACCTTTAACTTATTAACATGTCATTATATGCTAAACATTCCTCTGCTATGGGAAGAACTCTGTCATTCTGTGTACATGTGACAGAGAAGCATGTTAATGAACTGTGCCTACATGTCTGGAACTCTGCCCTGTTCGTGCTTATGTGTATGCCCTAGCTTGCACCCAACTCTTTAAAACTCCTGTTCCTCTCACTGCTCAGGGAAAGGGACTTTCAGAGTAGGAGCTCCCCTTCTTCATCCTCTGACCAGGGAAGAAACAGCCTGATTGCCTTTCCAAGTTGGATGTTCTTTCTTTGGGGCTAATAAAAATAAAGGAAGAACACAGTTTACCAGTGATGTTTGCAATCAACTTTTGGTTTCATAGAAAAGGCATTGAAAATCTCCCATAGACCCATTGGTTCTCTTCACTACCTGTAGGTAGCAAAAGGGACATAGGATCCAGGGTATGAATGTAAAGCCAAGTCTGTGTATGTGTATATATAATTTTGGGGTTATGTTTTTCTTATGAATATGTATTTTTATAGTTATTAGTACATATACTTATTTATATTTTTCTAGTTATATATGTATTGCCTGAAAATATATTCAGTGTATACATATGTGTATATACGATGTACGCATACATATGTGTATATATACATATGTATACATATATAATGCGTATGTATTTATGTATGTTCTCATATGGCTGGGGAAAGACCATCATAGTCTGGCTTACAAGGCTACAAGTTCATATGTGTTATGTGTTAATACATGTTAATGTGTTAATATGTACATTATATTTTTTCATTAATGTGTTTATTAATTCGCACATTACTTTTTTATATATTTAAATTTTTATAGTTTTATTCATGTGTGTATATGTATTTTTAGTTTTCTTTATGTGTAACTAGAACGAAAGACAGTGCTGTGTATGTGACTGTTTTTATGTGTTTTGAGGTTGTGTTTATTTTATGTATATATTTTTATTTATAGATATTATTGTAAATATTTATCCCTATATACATACATGTAATCGTAGATGTGATGTGTAATTTTATTATTGAAGATATAGAATGGATATATGTTAATATGTATATATTCTTATTGCCTGCCTAGGCAAGACTGTCAGATAACACTACAAGTTCATAATTATATTTTAGTAATTTTTCACCTATTTGTAGATATGTAAAGTAATATGTTTCACATTACTTTATATATTTAAAATTATATGGCTCCATTCGTGTGTGTAGTTATATTTCTGATGACATCGTTACTTGTGACTATATACATGAAACACTCCAGAGTGACAGCCCATGGTGCACTGTTTCTTGAGAGCAGTGATTCTAAAACTGTGAGAACCCAAGGAGTTTCTTTCCCTTTGTTCTAGAAGGACCCTGGACTCAGAAGGACCCTGGACTCAGAGTGATCATGCAGTTTGTTTGCACTGCCAAACGCTTCTTAGCCTGGGTCACAGATCTCATGGCCAGATCTAACAATCACAGTGCCTGTGAGTTTGACATTTTGCCTCTGATTTGGGTTTTCTGGTAGACCACTTACTTTGATGTGCAGAAGGGTTTGTCAAGCCAGACTGCTTTTTTCTGTGTGTCTCCAACTCTCGGCAGAGGCTTCAGGGACTAAACTCTTCAGGTATTTACAATCCAGGAATTCTTCAGGCCTTCCTGTGGGCTTCTCTAGACCCCAGCTTGCACTGGCCAAAAGAGGTCTCCTCATGACTCTGTAGCCTTCAAAGTCTGAGGTATTTTCCTGGCCTACAAATGCCTACAATGCCCAACATGCCTTTCATACCTGGCTTGTGGCTGTCCCTCCACCCTGGTATCATCTGATGCCACACACAACTAGCATTGCCTGCAGCCCATCCTGAGAGCTAAAATCAAGCCATTCTATTAAAAGCCCCTTCTTTACCCATCCCAACTGGGCCATTAGTGTATGTACCCACCTTTGGTGGGCAGTGAATGAGCATTTATCCTCTTTGAGAGGTTTTAGGAGAAGTGGACAGTTTTCCCCCAAGAAGGTGATGGCCCTTGGGCTAGCTCTGGTTAATGGGAAAAGGAACGTGTTCTCTTAGCTTTTTCTAAGGTCTGCCCTGTATCAGTGCCAGTGTATTCCAACACTGAACTAAAAGGTAGCATGATTTAACTTTCAACAAGCACTTTTTCATGAGTGGAATTCTTTATGGTCCTGTGGGCTGCAATTGGAGATAAAACGTGTCCCCTAACTTTTTCTTAAAAAGGACCTTGACAAATTTCTTCTCTGTCAAGATACCTACATTCAGTGAACTAAAACAGAATATGATGAAAGTTTCAGTAAGCTAACTTAGTGTAGTACCTTTTTATGCATATATATGGCTATAAGTCTATCAAACTCAATTGCAAAAAGAAACAAGCTTCTGAAACTATAACTCAAAAGAACATTACTAACTTTGTGAAGATTAAAAGAGATAAGATATGTAGAGGGGAGTGTTTGGCCCAGAGAAGGCAGTCAATAAATGATAGTTCCTTCTTTGTTGCATCATACTAAAAATACTTAAATGTTGAAGTAACAAAAATCTGGTTAGGTAGCTAGCTGGATAGGTGAATGAAAGCCATTGAGCAGTGTTATTATCTTCAACATACAAGAAAAGAACCACACAAATGATTCCCTAAGTTGAAATGGCCACAGCTTGATCCTTCAAAGCTGAAAGCCAAGCTGTGAGTGGTGGCAATGGTGGTGGTGTTAGGACAGGAATTGGGATTGTGTTCTGGGTTGTTTTATGTTTCAGTCAACTTGGATAGAAATCAGCTTTGAAAGAAGGCTTGGTGCCCACTACCTCCAGAGCTCAGGTTCCCTGGTCCTCTTCCTCACCACGTTGATGGTCAGCCATCTAGAGATCTTGGGCCCCACACTAAGCCAGGAAGGAAGAGCAGTATAAGAGGGTTGTGGGGGAACGTATCCTACCAAGAGCTGGGTGGAGTTTCCCAGAATAACCCTGCAGGGGAGGGACAGCTCAGAATGGAGTAGGCTGTGGCTATGGCTGAAGGCAGGGATGGTGGCTGCAAGGACCCCAAGGAATTCTCAGCATTGGAGACTTCCCCCCAGGCTGGAGGAAACAGGTGAGTCAAGGAGCTGGAACCAGGAACCCATGCAAGCAAGATCTGTGTGATGGATTGCCCCTACATTCTAACCCCAGGAGGAAGCATGGGAAAGCTTTGGGGTTACCATCTTCCTGAGGCCCTCTCCTCATTCTGTCAGCCATTACCCCCCAGTACTCCTCATCACTGAAGGATAGGCTTCCTTTTCTGAGTCCTCACCTTCTAATGGGTTCATTAAGGAATCCTGAAGTCCACAGGGTAGGTAGTTGTTTCCCCCAGCCTATCTGAGAGGAGCCTCAAGTATCCTAGGTAAAGAGAGTGGGTGTTCCTGGAGAGATGGAGAGGCTGATCTGGTTTTCCCTCTAGGGCAATGGAGACAGAAGTCCCAGGACAAGACCTGGAAGTATTTCTGTCTTGTGTGTGTGGTAAGAACAGTTAAAATCTACTGCTTTAGCAATTTTGAAATATACATTACATTATCGTTAACTGTGGTCACCATGCCATGCAATAGATCACTAAAACTTACTCCTCCTGTCTGATTGAAACTTGGTGGTTTTGACCAACATCTCCTCATCTCATCCCTTCCCCCCCAGCCCCTGGTAACCACCATTCTACTCTCTGCTTCTTTGAATTTGGTTTTTAGATTCCATGCATAAGGGAGATCGTGCAGTATTTATCTTATTTCATTTAGCAAAATAGGAATGTGACTTTAGATGCCAGTAGTATCTCTCCCCCATTTGTGGTGACCAAAAATATCTTCGGTAGATGTCCCCTGAGGACAAAGTCACCCCTGGTTGAGGACTGCTGCTGTATGGGTTCTTTAAGCAAACAAGAAACATCAATGTATACTTTATATATATCATATTATTCACACTATTCTCTTCTAAAATTTATATTTATTTATTTATTTTTAGTCATGGTGTCACTTTGTCACCAGGCTGGAGTGCAGCAGCATGATCACAGCTCTCCACAGCCTCAACCTGCTGCCTGTCTCCTGAGTAGCTAGGACTCCAGGTGTCTACCACCATACCTGACTGATGTTTTTTGTTTGTTTTTGTAGAGACCAGGTCTGGCTATGTTGCCCAGGGCTGATCTTGAACTCTTGGGCTCAAGCAATCCTCCTGCCTTGGCCTCCCAAAGTACTGGGGTTATGGGTATGAGTCACCACCCCCAGCTAATTCACACTATTCTTAGAGCTACTTTTCTCCACTTAATAGGATAGTTATAGCATTTTAGTATTTTCTTCTGATGTGTTCCAGTAACAGAAAGCACCAGCTGTCCAGGTAGTGAGTTCCCTGTTGCCAAGTGTGTTCAAGTGAAGACCATCAGGAAGGTGGCAGGTAGGGAGTTACAAATGTCTTTATTGGTGGAGAGCTGGATATGCTGATTTTGCTGATGGCTCCATCCTCAGAACTCTCCTGCATGTCCTGCCCCATGGACTGGAAGGCTTTTGAAGGCTCCTGCTACCTCTTCTCTTTGGACAATCTCACCTGACCCCAGACCAATGATTCTTGTGCCCAGAAGAAAGCTCACCTTGTTATTCTCAACAGCCAAGCAGAACAGGTAGGAAAGGGAAAGGTAGAACCCTTGTGGGGGTGGAGGAAGAATTGTGCAAGAATTTTGTGGTTCAGGGGCCAGGTACAGTTGCTTGTGCCTGTAATCCTAGCAATATGGGAGGCTGAGGTGGGAGGATTGCTTGAGCCCAGGAGCTCGAGATCAACCCAGGCAACATGGTGAGACTCTGTTTCTATAAAAAGATTAGCCAGATGTAGTGGCACAAACCTGTAGTCCCAGCCACTCAGGAGGCTGAGGCAGAAGGATCACCTGAGCCCAGGAGGTCGAGGTTGTGGTGAGTCATGATTGTGCCACTGCTTTCCAGCCTCAGAGGCAGAGACTCCAACTCAAAAAAAAAACAAAAAAACTGTGAATTTTGGGGTTCATATTTTTGTCTCCTTTAAGATCTGGCATAATAATCCTAGTATTAAGACCTACCTTATCCTGCACTAACCCATTCTCACTGCTGTCATTCAGGGAATGGACTCTGTGCACTGTGGTCTGCCTCCAGCTCAGAGTCACATGAGTCATTGTGTTTGGAGGGCCTCTCCCTTTGCTGTCTGCATGGAGAATCCTTGCTCAGTCATCAAAATCCCAACACAAACACACTTTTCCTTTATAACTTCTTGTAGCATCACTAGAGACTTTGATCACAGTACTTCATGCTGCATTGGGGTTGCATTGGGGTCACCAATGTTGGGCCAGATCTGAATCATCTCTGGTTCTCCTGGGCCAAGAACAAAGCTTGACCTAAAGTAGGGTCTCCATGAATGTCCTTTGGATTGAGTCTCATGACAGAACTCCTCCCACAGTCGACAGATCAAACTGCTTGCTCTGGCATATGCACTCATAGCCTATATGTGTGCAGTGTGTCTTTTTAGTTACCCACACTTCACACAGTTAACTCTTTCAATTTCTTTACTCTGATTTCAAACACCAGATATCTAGTGTCATGCCACATGATTTCTGACAAGTTACTCACCCCTCAGTTTTCTCATCTGTGCAAAGGCAGAGAATTCTATTCTTTCCCTTGTGCAGAGGCAGAGAATTCTATTCTTTCCTCTGTGCAAAGGCAGAGAATTCTATTCTTTCCTTTGTGCAAAGGCAGAGAATTCTATTCTTTCCTTTGCACAGATGAGAAAACTGAGGGATGAGTAACTTGTCAGAAATCATGTGACATGACACTATGTATCTGGTGTTTGAAGTCAGAGTTTAAAGGGGTTGTGTTTCATGCCTGCGTTCATCTGCATGCCCCTCTGCCAGTTCCTCTGCACCTCAGTCTTCCTCCAGACCCCTGAAAACGTCTACCTTCATTCTTTCAGCTTTGAAGGAATTCTGCCTCCCAAGCATACCTTCTCCCATTCAGGACTTCCTGACATTGACTGGACAGGTGACATCCTGGATAGGCTTCTTCAAAGACGACCAAGGAGGTGCCCACAGGTGGACCTATGGCTCCGCCCTCACCTACATGTATCTCCCTTGTCACCTAAGGCAGTCTCCTCCACCCCCTCGGAGGCTGGCAGGGCTTTCCAGAAGCAAGTTTATGGCCATTCAAGGTGTTTCTCTTTCCTTCAGTCACAATTATTTACCTGTAGCTGCTCCCAAACTGCCTGAGATCCTACTATCCCAGTCATTGTTTTGTAATTTGAGTAAAGTGTTCCCAGTTTAAATGCTTGAAAAATATTGACTTCGGTGCCAAACTGGTTTCTCAGTGTCAGGACTCCTCAGAGCCTTGAATGTGCTAATGAGCATTGGGCGGCCTATTCAGGAGCAGTATAATTATATAGCACTTGCTGACTGAATGCATTGCCTGTGGCTGCTGAAACTAAGTACCACAAACTGGATGGTTTAAAATAACAGAACTGAGAGGTTCCAGTAAGATGGTGATGGCATAAGTGAATTTGTGAGACTCTCTGAAAGTGAGTTCCCAAAAAACTCTAACTTTTCTTCCCGCAGCCCCCTGCCCACCGCCAGCCACACTGGTATGAGGCCCGGGGACCTTCAGTCCCACACGGGGCCAGATATTGTGGCTCCTGGCTGTGGCTGCTCCACTGTATGTGACTCCTGCCTCCTTGGGAGTCCCGGGTCTCGGTCCCCTCCCTGGCTACATCATCTTGCCCAGCACCCAGCACCAAGCTGCCAGTACCCAGGGAGGCTCTGGCCACCCGCCCCTCAGAAAGACCAGTCCCACTTCTGGGTGAAGTACCCTGTGGAGGGACCCAGGGCCACCGCCTGCCCTTTGGAGCTTTGGAGCTCTGGAGCCCCAGGCCCACCCTGGCGGAGGCACTCAGCTCGTGACCCCAAGCTTGTATAAGGGAACAGAACCCCAAGCTTGTATAAGGTGCTGATTGAAGGCTTCCAGCTCCAGAGGAGGGAACGCCCGACCCTCTCCTCCACCCCAGCCTGCTGGTGACACCCCAGATCCAGCACCCAGCTGTGAGCTCATCCCCGGTGCCTCTGCCCAGAAACCCAGATGAGCATCCCCGAAAGTGAAAGTGAAGCTACCACCTCCGCCATTCTCCAGGCTGATTTGCATTGCCCCGCTCACCTATCAGAGCCTCCACCTCGGTTCCTAAGGTAACGTCATTAAACAGGAGACAAAGCCCCTCCCCTACACTGAACAGAGACAACTAAACATCACAGACTTCCCAGGCAGCAGGCTAGCTGCCTGCAACAAAAACAAAGGGGAGAGGCTGGAGATCAGAGCTCAAGTGACTTTAGACACTAAGGAAAGATTCCAGAGCTAGTCTAATCTCTTATTTTGACCTTTGATTTTATCATTCTGACTGTATGTTTTGCTCACTACTGTTTGCTTCCTAACTTACACTATCTGTTTCATGATTTTATTGATCTGTTTCTGTGTAGGTACCAGTATTCTTTAGGCAATTTTCCTTCTGTGTTTTTTTTTTCACTTCTCTCCGGCCTTATGTCTCTTTTTCACTTGTTAGTTGGTATGTATGTCTGTTTTCCCTCTCACTCTTCTCTCTTTCTAACTTCCTATTGAACCTCCCTTCCTCCATCATTTTCAGCTTGTATACTTCCTTTTGCTCCAGGGACCAGAGCTACACCCCGCCGCACAGATTGTATGTCAGTGGGAAATAGGTTCCAGTGTGCAAACCTGTTGGTAGATGCTGTAATCAGCATATAGATTCTGAATCACAGTTTCCCCCTCAATTAAACCTCAAAACTGCAAAAAGTACAACCCACAGCCACACTCCAAACTCAAAAGTGAACAAAGCCAGAGGACCCTCATAAGGAAGAACAGGAGATTATACAAGTGAAACAAAAGCAATCACACCTTCCCTGAAAAACAGAATTAAATAAGGGGAGGGAAAGAGGGAGAGAGAAAAAAATCTACACAAATGAAGAAAAACCCCAAGAAGAATACAGATCTCTCCCAGATCCCTGAGAGGGCAGACACTGAGAAAACTGAATGCAAACAATGAAGAGCCCCCAGAATGACTGGTCT